ACTTCTAAACTTAGTTAAATATTTTAACTTAAAATAACTTAAGCTAATTGATTAAATCCTAACAGACTAAATTAGCTTAACTGAAAAATAAATATCAACTTAAATAAAACTAAGTTAATTAATTAAACTTCAATTAAATTAATTAAAATTTGGTTAACTTTAATCTAAATCAAAACTAGAATCAATCAAATATTAACTTAAAGCTAAAACATTAAGTAAACCATAATTAAATTCAATTATAAGTAAATCAAGCTCTTTTTCAAATCAAAATAAAAAACAGATTCATGACCTAAAACTATAATTGATTGAAAATTGAACATAATATTAAAGATATTAATTATATTTCATTAGGAATACAATAAAAAAACAAAAATTATAATTAAAACATAGTACTTGAACCATGAGGTACAACATTAATGATATGATGAGATTACTTTTCACTCTTCTAAACATAAAAACACTTGCACAAAAGTCCAGTTGTAACATCTCCGGGTGCATTTGGGGCGACAGTGTGGTGATGGTGTGGCATCGCACCGCATCGCACCGCGTCTTGCTTTTTAGGGTTTAGTAATATTATGTTTTGCCTACTTTTTGAAAAATAGAGGTAGAAAGTTGTGTTCTATGATCTTAAATGTCGTGGCTGCCTGAAACCTACACTCACAGCTGATTCTTCAAATAGTATCTACTAGAGAGAACCTTAGTCACCATTAGTACTAAATCAAACTATTCATCCCAAATCCTTGCCATTTTTACTCCACAACTACCATCTTCTCAAACTCCATTACTATCAACAATATTTAGCATGGCGGAAGATCAGTCGGGGGAGGCCTAACAGACTCCATCTTCCCAACCCCATCCTCCACCCAAAACACCATTGCCATCCCCCATTCATGGTGTATCTCCATATGACAATGCATCAACCAAACCCCCGGATTATTCGCCACAAATCTTATCACCGTCCACCCTCCTGCCGGAATTCCCACTGTATTCCTCTTTGGAGGATCCACCATATTCAACTCACCCCCATCCCTCTCCATCACAAATTCCCCAATCCCCCTACCCATCACATAAAAATCATACCCATGTAAATGAATAGGATGCTCTTCCTCCAACAGCAAGCTGCTTCCCTGCAGCACCACCTGAACCACAGATCCATATTTGATCTTGTAGATCTTCGTCCCCTTTACCGTATGGTTAAATTTCATAGCAGGAGAAGGGGGGAAATCAGATGTGAAAACACCAACCTGATCGAAGTACGCTGCTTCAAGAATCGAATTTCTTCTCGGAGCCACGAAGGAAACATCATTCATGCTCGCGATTACTCTTTGCCCAACCAAATGCAGATCAACAACGATGGTTAGATTTTCATCAACGGGTTCGGGAATCTTGACTCGATTAGGGCTTTTGAGTTTTGAGGTGAAATGGAAGGCGGAGGATCGATCGAGATTGGAGGGGAGGAAGGGAAGGAGGGGATTGGAATGGATGTTGGTATCGTAAGTGAGAATGGCGGTGGTGGTGTAGTTGCGAAATTGAGGGATCGGAAAGGAGCTTTCGAAGCGGTGAGCAGCGATGTAATATCGACCCTGATTGTGGTTGGTGTGGAGCAGAACATCGGTGGTTTGGCCGGGGCCGAGCATCAGGTAGGAGGTGTTGAAGGGTTTGGTGTAGGAGGCGTCAGCGGAGACGACGATCATCGTGTGGCCGGCGATGGAGACGAAGAAGTGGAGGTTCATTGCGGCGTTGATGAAGCGGAGTAGTAGGGTTTCGCCGGTGGTCGCGGGGATCACCATTGTTTCTGCTCATAACACAAATTAATTTAGGAAAGTTTATATGCAAAAATATACGTATTTGAGTATTATATGATATTATTCGATTATTTTAAGTTGTTATTGGAATATTCGGTCGCGTTATTTGATTTGAGGCTGAAGTGTTATTGAAATATTGTCCCGCGTTACTTGATTTGAGGTTGTGTTATTCAAATAACATAATGAAAATTAAAATAATACAGGGAATATGAAAATTAAAAGAATACGGGGAATATGTTGAATAACACAGCCTCAAATCAAGTAACGCGGGACAATATTTCAATAACACGACAAAATAATCGAATAACACCATATAATACTCGAATAACACTTTATTTTTTACAAATAACACAGATAGAATATTCCTGTAACACAACGAGATATTTCTAACTATTTCAATCTCAATGTAGCTTTTGAGAGTTCTGATGTAATATATACAAACATCTATTCTGATGCATTTACTTATCACCCACCCAAATTTTCATTTTTACATCTTAAGCGCCTATTCACAGATAGAAAACGATGCTTTAGCTGTACAAATCAAAGTTTGAGTGGGAAATATGTAAATATATAAGAATTTGATAAAAATAAAAAATATGACAATGTATACAAATAAATGATCTATTTATGCAAGTCACGATCAAATTATTGAGAATTTGACAAAAATGAAAAATATGAATTGGAGTTTTCTCATAAAATTTTGATATTTGAGTGAGAATTTGAAAAATGGATGAAAGGGGGATGATTGATTTGAAAATAGCAAGTTTAGGCTGGTTTGCATTTATGGAACATTTACATAGATATCCCTCAATTTTTACCTATTTACATATCCAACCACAACTAAACTATAGTTTTTATGTACATAATACCTTATTGTCAAGGACAAAAAAGTCCCACATCGGCTAGGTGTAGAGCCAAAAAGTAGTATTTAAGTCGGGGACTGCCCACCACTCCTAAGAGCTCTTTTGGGAGGTGACATTATGCTCTAAAATGTATATTTCATTTTCCTAATTAAATTGATGATTTTTTTTGTATGTGACGTGAAAGATTTGATTAGCAAAATTGTAAAATGTAAAATATTGGGGTTAGACATGTAAATGAATAGTAATTGAGTGGTATGTATGGGAGGATTGGAAATTCTTGACGATAGAATTCCAGGTGGAGGGTAGAAAGGTGATGCTGAGAGGAGACGCTTGCTTATGCAAAATCATGATGTCGCTCAAAACAATGGTAAGTCGATACAAGAAAGGGGGAAGAGCTACTTGGTGGAGTTGCAGAACATTGAGGAGGTCCGAGATCTAGAGTTGGAAAAGTTTCTCGAAGGGGACCAACAGCTCTTACAACAGTTTACGGATGTCTTTCTGCAGCCAAGCGAGTTACCACCCTAAGGGAGCATGAGCACGCTATTACATTAAAGAAGGGTGTCCCCCCTGTCAATGTCGGACCATACAAGTACCCCCAGATTCAAAATGATGATAAATAGAACTTGATCAGAGAGATGCTCGAGGACGGGATTACCAGACCTAGTGTGAGCACTTTTTCCAGTCCAACCATGTTACTTAAGAAAAAAGATTGTAGTAGGAGTTTTTGTGTGGACAGTTGGTCTTTAACCAATGATAGAGTGTTGGATAAGTTTCATATTCCTATGATTGATAAGTTTCTAGATAAAACCCATGTGCATCTTCCCCTTCGAAGATCGATACTTTCAGTTTTCTGACCCTTGTATCTTCACCCCAATTTCCTCTTCCTCCGGTATTTCCCCTCATGTGTCTTGGGTGAAACTCCCTCTTCCGGTCATAGCCATACCTCAATTCCGATTCCCTACTTCCTCATTCGTGCTCTTCCGTACCCCTTTCATCAGAAGTTTCCACTCCTCCTCTGAGAGTCCTGGGGGGACGCTCGTGGTGGTAGATGATGTCCTCCTCGTTGTCCTCTCGTTCGATCTCATTTTCTTTTGAACTGGCCAAGGATTCTCTAATAAACCTTTGGTCAGGATTTGCAACTGGAGTAATCGACATAGCCTTAAACTACAACTTCAAGAGCTTTTTCATTATTTCTTGCATTTCTCATATGCTCTCAAACCCGTCCTCCATTTGGCTCTCAATGGAAGAAAATTTGTCCTCCGTGGTAGCAAACCTTTCTTCCATTTCCGATCTGATTTGCTCACATTCTCCTTCCAGCACATCCACTTTCTTTGTTGTTATCCCTTCAAAATCTTGTTTTGATACCAATTTGTTATGATCCGAAACCAAAAATCAGCGAAGAAACAACGAGGAAATTGCAATAGATATGTGGAAAAACTCAAACGAGGGCTACTCTTACGAAAATCAAATGAAAACAAGCAAGATGCAATTATGATCTATTGTTTAAGAAGTAGATCGTCTCTCCACAAATCCTAGACATCGCTAGGAACACCACATGAAGAAAAGAAAACAACAACCAAAACATGCATTAAAATAAACCCTAGCCCCCTTCTCTTCCTAAATATTTCCCCTAAATCCTTTTCAAACTTCTTCCCCCTAAGTCCCCCTTGATTCTTTTCCTTCTATATGTGAGGAATGGCTTCGTGACTTTTGCCCGGGCACTGGAATTGTGCCCCTTATCGTGCCCGCTTGGACCGACCGCCTGCTGCTTTGGCTTGAGATGGCCAGTTGGGACCTGTCCTTCCTGGACCGGTTCCGCTTAAGCAGCAGAGGGGTGTTATCACATTTCTCTCAATTTTCTTCTATTTGGAGAGTTATAGCCTATCTTTCTTCGATTGGTGAATCTGCATCTTGAAGAGAGTAGATATTGGATGTTCTCTGTCATATTTAGCTTGCCGTTTTGCTGTTGGCCCCGCTATTTACAGATAGGACAGCCGCCGAACGGCTTCAAGCCCCTTCCAAACTCCGCCTTGCATATTCTCTTCCTATTGCCATGTTACAACTTCTCCCCACTAAATCTGATCCTAAAAGACTCTAATAGCTCTAAAACGGTGTCATTGAAGTTTATAATTTAAGGCCATTTAATGTAAAGAAAGTGTACAACATTTCACCAATCTACCATACCGATTATGTTCTTGTATTGGTTCGTCTTGAAGCTTAGCATGCTTCATTTTGAAAACTTAGAATGTTCATTCTTTTATGGGTTGACGTATATTAATAAAATTCAGAAAATTTCTAATCTTTTCAAGCTTTGTCTAAATTCCTTTTTTAGGAAGGCAAGAAAAGGAATATGAGATGATCTTAAGAAGAACTTTGCAAAGCATATGTCTACTGAATGTCCACCCCAACACAACTACCTCTATAATCGTTCAGGTTAGGTGATATTTCTGCATCTACTTTAGTTATTATTTTTTCCTCTGGTCCCCTAATTGTGTTAAATCTACAAGTTCCACACATGCTATGCTGTATAGTTTATACTATTTATTATCTTTTAAAAACATTTATTTAGGTTGTATTATTCACCCAAAAAAGCCTTGATTCTATGATTGAAGTGATTCTTCCAATATAAGGATTCAGTGCTGATTGATGAGCAAATGATTGCTTCTCATTGTCTGTGCAAATTTTACAAACAATTAATGTGTAGAATTTGTTTCTAAACAAATTTGACGACGACGACAACGACAAGCCTTTATCCCAGCTACATGAGTTCTTTTTCTCCACCGTGTCCTATTGAGTGTCATATTTTCATTTATTTCTAACCAGTTAAGATCATTTTTATACCATTTGCCCAAGTCTTTTTATGTCTGCCTCTACCTTTCTTAACATAAGTCGAATCTAAAACATCTACTCTCCTAAGCGGATCATCAGCTGGTTGATGTTTAATGTGACCAAACCATCTACGATGACACTCACTAATCTTATCTGATACTGGAGCTACACTAACCCTTTCATAGATACATTTCAAGAAAATATTAGATACATGTTTCAACCCAAAAAAAAAAAAAAAGACGGCCAAAAGAAAAATTATTATTGGTAAGATCTTTATGTTTATGTTAGGTTGAAGAGCATTTAATAGCTATTAGCACTCTTTCTTAAAGATTTAATATCTTTATTTTAATTGCAGGTTATTGGGGATGATGGTGCTGTATCCTTTTCTTAATTTTTTGCATGGAATGTTTTCATTTATTAATGGTAGATACATTTAAAATCTAACCTTGTTCTTAGATTTATTAGGTTTTCCCTTCAGTACTATTGAATTTACATCAGTTCGATTGTATAGGGGTTGTTTATGACAAAATGTTGTCGTCCCTTTAATATGCTTTTGTAGAATGGTAGAAACAGCGATGTCATTTATTAATATGATATTTCTTTTTTTACTAGTAATAATGCTATCAATTATTAAAACTTTAAAAAGAAAATATCCAAATGTTTAAAAAGTAATGGTTGAAAAAGAATGCAATACTATGCTAAAATTTTTTTAAAACAGTGAAAAAGTTAGAAATAATCAAACCACAACTACTTTTTTTTGATAAGTTGGTCCTTAATTCTTTTATAGTTGAAGTCGATCTACTATCTTGTTTAAAGAATTTTTGTTGCTATTAGAGAAACTAATAATATCATTATCAAAGGTTGATGAGCGAATCAAAGTTTACATTCAAATCTAAAAGTTAGGTGAGGTTTTTTAAGAAATAAAGGTTTGGAATTTCTTTGGTCAAATCAACACCAATAATGACTAAACTAGGAGGAATAGGTTTCATCTTGCTCTATATCATTTAAAGAAGTGAATAATTTATTAAACTCTCCATTCATTAAAATGTACAATTAGTTGTGGCAACATAAATTAGTTGGATCTAATTTGAGGAAAAACTAGTAGAAGTATGAATTTTAAACATAAAAAACAATTGATTACGACCAAAATCTTTGGTCATATCTAATTTTAAAGTGACATTGACAACTCTAATTTAGAATTAAAGAGGGAAAAAAAACAAATAAAGATGGAAAAAACATACACATAATAAAAAGAGGAAAACTGAAATAGGAAACACCCTCCAATAGCTTCCATAAATTGAACCTGTGAGGCCCATATGGTCTGTCGTCTGAGCCACCTGACAAGGACAAAATTTCTTGCTCTCATTTAAGCTGGGTCATAGATGTTGTAAAGAACCAACTTGGTATTCAAATTAGTGAAATTGCTTGGAGGTGGGGATCTAGTGAAAACATCAAAAACTTTTAAACAATTTAAAGTTTGTATTTTATAATAAAGTTAAGCAACCCTTTGAATTAATTCTTATTATGTCAGATTTGTTGATTTGTTCAGGTACTTGATTATTCCCTTTTGATGAAGTATGTTTGTTTGAACAATGATGATTTCCAACATTTTTATTTAAATTCAACCATATTTATAAATGAATGATGGAAGTAATTTTAATGTCGTTATTTCAGGTAATTTCTGAGCTAATTTTTCTTTTCTTGTTACTATTATTTTTTTCTTTTGTGCTTTTTTTTATTATTTTCTAGGGTTGGCTGTTTTGGCTGTTGACTATTGGTTGTTGGTTGGTGGTTGTTGGATCACTTGCTTGTTGTCTATTGGTGCAACTCACATAATATAATGTCATTTAAATGGAGTTCCTTTGTAAATCGAGTCAAATGATATGAATATAAATATCATTCATTAAAATGCCCTTTATTTTTTTTTCACTTTCAGCTACTATTACAGATCCAAACTTGAACAACTCCTGTTTTATTTTAGGAGAATTTCGAAGTAGTTCAAGTTCCTCCAATGGTGTTTGAAACGTAGCAATAATATGCCCAAATTAATTTAAGACTTCTGTAGAGCCTTTTAGAGCTTGAGAGGAGCACTTTGATTACCACTGTAGTAGTGGATGCTTTAAAAGGAATAGTAGCAAGTATGATATTCTTTATTTTATAGATTAATTCACGTTAATTATCTATTCTTATCTTGGAGAATTATTCCCATTATTCTAGTTCTCAGAAAGCAAATATAGCAGTGCCTGCTTCGTTTAATATGATGCACATTGACAATAATTTGTAATATTCAAGTGTTGTTTTATGGATTAATTTTTGCATAGAGCTATAAGGCTAACCAGTTTTTTTTTTTTTTCACAGAAAATTGGCGGCCAATTTTTATATATTAAGATCATTTTTATATAATATGTCAAGTCCTTTTAGGTCTATCTGTGTCTTTCTTAACATGTGTTGAATCTAAAGCATCTACTTTTTTAACTTGATCTCTAAAATTTTTTCATTAGGGGTAAATTCAACACAAACAATAGAACAATTGCAAGGAAAATCAGAGCAAGGAATGGAAGTGTGTGTAAAATACTTATGGAAAAGAAGATTAACTACAACAAAAGTTAGGTGCATTTGCAACCATACCACCAAATTCCTATGTATTTACATATCTAACACCTAAACTTTACATTTTTACATTTATAACACTCAAGTACTTCATCACATCCAAAATGTCACTGGGTTAACTTTTAAAAAGTGAAATACACCTTTTCATGTATAGTTCAAGTGGCATATGTAAAAATTAAAGTTTAGGTGTTTGATATGTAAATACATAGGAATTGAGTGGTATGTATGTAAATCTTTCTGAAGGAAGTTTGATTTTTGGATTATCCAAATCATATTAATATTGTTAGAAGCAAAACCATTAAAACCGAAGTAGCATATGAAGCAATCATTCGTATCCCTAGTAACCATAGCTTCAATAACAACAAGAAATTTAGTTTGATGAAGATGAAATTAACTTTTAAGTTTTTTTTAGCATTTGATTAACAATAGAGATTGGCTTTTATTTGATTCTACTTTTAGTATACTTTATATGAAAAATTATATACTTTTTTGTTCTATATAGATTCAACTTTAATAAGCTCCCCTCCTTCACAGGAAGAAATTCACCCTATAGATTTCCTTCTAGTATTAGCGCGAGGATGAAAAATAGCAATTAAGTCTGAACTCTATTATGAAGTTTTTTATTTGGTTGAAAAACATGTTTTTATCTCTTCTTCTCTTGTCTATTTATCAAGAAAAACATCATTCTTTTATCTGTATAAATATTTATTTTGACCATGTAGTGCTCCTTGATGAATAGCTTTAGCTTCTCCCTTGTGCTATAAATGCATCGTGTGTAGCTCTTGTTGATGCGGGCATTCCTTTGAAACATCTTGCTGGTATGTATTTGTTCTTTTATTTTTTTTTTTCCAGCATGAGCTTTTTGCATGTTTTGACCTTCAATTGCTTCTCTCGTGCAGTTTCAGTCTGTTGTGGTTTAGCAACGAGTGGACATGTAATTTTAGATCCAACCATACAAGAAGAGCAGGTGGTTTCTAATGGCTGTTAATTCAATAGGCTGCAATTGACTAATTTGCATAAATACTTGCATTGTTTTGATAAGAAACCTTCTGTATAAATCATTTGTGGTGGTTTCGCCTTAGCCTTGTTTGCTTGTGCTACGATGCGTTGTCACCCGAGCTTCCCTTTTACATCAAATTTGTTTCAATTTTTTACTCGTCTGTTTTCATGTTCTTTTGAGTCAAACTGTGCTGTTGCTTTTGATATACTTTGGAGTTTGTCGTCTAGCATGTGCTCTGTGTTACTTCTTCTGTAACCTACATAAATTTTTAATTTTTATTTCTTAAGAAGTTTCACATACAACCCATTCAATTCCTATGTATTTACATATCTCACACCTATACTTCAGTTTTTACATACATGCCACCTTACCTAGGCATAAAAAGGTGTACTTCACTTTTTAGAAGTTAAAATGGTGGTATTTTCTATATGTATGAAAGATTTGTGTGTATAAATGTAAAAAATAAAACTTAGGTGTTAGATATATAAATACATATGAATTGCTCTTTTTTTTTTTAATCAAGTTATTTGAGCATTAGTTTGTATGACAAAGGTCAACACTCTTTTTAGAATGTGCAAGTTTTTGTTTAAATGTTTTTATCGATAAAATTTTGAATTTCTTTTGTTACTGAATGGTTTATTCAAATTAAAGATTTATTTGTTATTTTAATGTAGCAGAAAATGAAGGCTGTTCTTTATCTGGCTTTTCCAAACCCTCCTCTTTCAATCCATCATAAATCTGAATCTTCGACGAAAGATGAGCCTATCGAGCATGGAATTATAACATCTGTTACACGAGGGGTGATGTCAGGTGAAACATTTATATCCTGCTAATTACTCTTTTGATATTTGGGAAATTTACATACATAGCTCTCAATTCTTATGCATTTACTTACCCCCAAATTTTAATTTTTAGAAGTTAAGCAACATTTCCTTTGTCTGAAAAGATGTATGAAAAGGTGGATTACACTTTTTCCTATAGGTAGGGTGATTAACTTGGCTGTGAAATAAATAAACACATAAGAATTGGGTGGTATGTATATAAAAAACCCTTGATAATTTAGTAGATGTTATCAATAGAAGATTCCCAACTTTGACGTTCAATGATAAATCATTCAAATGCCTTGATTCTAATAGAATTTTGTTGATTGGTTTGTTTTTAGCTCGAAGCTGCATATGTGCACCGAGAACAAAAAAAAAAAAGGTCAACACCTAAGTTTAGGTTTTTTATAGTAGGCAACTTGAAAACTTCTGAATTTGGGTGTTACAAAAATGACCGAGGAAGGACAATATTGCTGAAAAGTAAATACAGTGAATGAAATCTCTGTTTGCATTTGCTAAATTCATGAATCAGTATTCCTTTTAGAGACAACTACATCAATGAAAGCAACCAAAGAAATAACAGCAAACTATCGGGTTCTTGATCGCCAATGGATAAAAGACACATGACACAAAGTGCTCGGACCACCTGCAAGAGAGTTTTGTTAAATTTCTGATCAAAATATTCAATGACAGGTTACTACCGATTTTTGCCCTTATTTTGTGGGGACTATAATATCTAATTTGCGGTTTCTCATAGTTGCTAGCCCCTATGGTTAACCATGCCTCTCAATAGCTAGAGATGACTTTTGATTAAGGCCAGTCATTAGAATGTTGATTACTCGGTGTATAATATTAGCAATTAGGTTGTCGATTGATTAAATTTATCGCTATAAATTTAGATCGAATGATCAGGGGAAAGATAACAAGTTCGATCAATATTTTATGGTTTATTCGTACATGGAATTCTGACTAATGCAATATTTCTGAAGAGTTTGATGCACACAGTCTTGTCCTTGCGGATCTAAACTCTGATTCGATGACTTAAACGTGTAGCTTTAGAATATGCTACCAACTTAACCCCTCTTATTTGTACATACATGATAAATGATTTGAATATTGTGCGACATATGCCATCTTATGGTTTGTAAGCTTGTAAGTAGCTTGATCATGTAAGATTCTTTATGGCTAATGCATCATTCGATTGTTGAAGGTAGCATAAATATCTGATCATAAATCTCCTCTCCGCATCTGCCATTTGCCATACTTTACATCCGATCCATTTGGATCTACTCTCTTTTTTGCAGCGAGTTATGTGTTCTATTTGAATCGTACAGGGAAATTATACTGACTATATTCACTTCAATTATATTGAGCTCATTCATGTGGCTGTTTAAGAGAAAGCTTGGTCATCACTGAGCCAACCAATGATATTGTTGGGCTGCTTGGATATTCCATAGCAAGCAGGTTGTGACTCGTGTCTCCATAGGATTCTACGTTAGTGGTCCTCAACTAAAGCTCATTTGATTTAATTGAGCCAACAATATCAAAATGGGGGCAGATTTGCAGCCCATATTTGCTGATTACATATCTTGGAGTGTTGACAACTAATTTAAAGATGAACCACATATAAATAATTCTCAGAATCAAGCAGAATTGTAAATCCAATTACCTATTTTTTTCATCTACGTATATCAAGGATGACCATGTAACATGGACAAACTCAAGCATCCGGTTTGAACCATTCCAGATGATAGTTGTGGATAGAATATCAGTAATAGGTTACCGTTTTAGTTGGGGCAACTTAGGATTTCTTTAGGAGGGTGAAAATAGGTGTGGCGACACCTACATCATAACATGGGCGACAACTACATCATGACATGACCCTAACTACATGAACTATTAACCTCATAGCTTCTTCTGTTAGGCGCAACCCTGCTAAAATTCATGAACTTAGAGTGATATACTGTGTGGATTTTTTTACGATATTATAACTTCACGATCAGCCTTCTTGGTTAAAGCAATATTCAAGAAGGACGACAACAATAAAAGTTGGCTTAGTTAAACAAATTGAGAAATAGGAAGTTCTTTAGTTGGAGGAGAACTAGTCAGGATTATGAAAAATCAGTTAAGGGGATTTAACGTGGATAACTATCCATTATGATGAAGTTTTCTGGGGGACTTAAGTCTCGTATTATATTCCCATGATTGGTCATTCATAGCAGTTAAACAAAGAAAATGCCTGCTATTTTATATGAATAGTCTGAGCAATATGGATAATATCACTTTCTTAAAAGATTCTGACAAGCACACCTCAGAAGCAGCAGTTCAGCTATAAGTGACAAAATAACTAAAGTAGATGTTTAACTGATTCTTACATGATAATGATAATATTATTTAAAAGTCCCCAAATCATAAATGCGTGACCTGCCACCATATTATGCATAAGTTGATAGATAACCATCAAATTCATATTTAAGCATGGGGATGCATTAAAAAATAGAGAAAAGTGGAGAACAGTCCTAAAAGAGAACAGTAATCCTTGTTCATTTCAACCAAAAAAATCATTGAGAAAATGTGCATTAAACAATATAAAGAGCATTTACATACATACATATCATCCAGTTCCTACTTTCTATGTATTTACATATCTAACACCTAAACTTTACCTTTTACATTTATACCACCCAAATTTTTTATATCACATCAAAAATACTTGCATATTAACTTCTAAAAAGTGAAATACACATTTTCATGTATAGGTAAGGTGTCGTATATTTAAAAGTTCTTAATATAGTTACTGTAAAATGATTATTTTATAGTGAAGAGGAGACTTGGACCGTTATAAGACTGCATATGAAGACGTATTTTATAGCTCTAAAAAATTCAATATAAAGTTACTATACTTTTAGTGAAAGAAACAATTCCAGTCTGAATATGTGATTTGAACTTTATTACTTCGTAGAGGAATGGACAACATCTTGGATGCCCATGAAGGGGCGTAGTTTATCTCTTTGATTATCAATCTCTAAGCTGATTGTTGGTGACAGTTGGATTTGCAAGATAACCATTTGCCCGTTGCTACTTCATTCCTACCACACTGATGAGTGAGAACTTGATCTTTGCATTAGGGTACAATACCAAAGCCCTGAATATTGGCCTGAGTAGGGATTTTTTTCTTGTGTTCCTAAAGGAGATTAGTTGGAGATCATGTTAATGTTCCTCTTTAGATGCTAAATTTGCTTATATGGCAGTCTTAGAGACTTAACATCTAAATACTTTTAGTGTATTATATTTTTTATACTTAGGATTTATTAAGATGATGTTATAGAATTTTAGTTCATTTTGGCGGCATTCATATACATGTGAAAGAATGTATATGATCATATGGATGTACTTTGTGTAATTTCATGATTTAAAAAAATGAAATTTTATTTTTTGTTTCAACACAGTTGAAGATGTTGCAAACTTCTTAGCAATCGTCAAATATCTTGGTTTATGCTTAATATTTTTGCTCTTGGGCTCCCTTTTGTCTTGTGAGATCAACCTTACTAATTTTACATTTTTGTCTTATATTTTTATTTAAAAAGCTAGTGATTTCCAATGATCATTTCAGTGTTTGATTACGAGCACTGCTTGGAGCGCGGCCGTGTTGCTTGCTCAAAGATCTCTGAATTTCTGAGGAGAAACTTGCAGTCCTTAGCTCGAGAGGGCCCAACAAAAGCTACTTAGTAATACAAATCATTGGTGAGATTGCAAAATTCTTTTTTGATAATTAGTTCATGAATTACACCTCTCTTTGTGTCAATTTGCTTGTTTTGCACTCTAGGGGCGGTGGTCTGTACAATTAAATCTTGTTAGTGATGCTCAAATTTGTGTATTTGTCTTGATGCTTCTAGCTAAAGGCTTTTGAAACATTGATACACTTTTAGAATATTTTTTGAGGTATAGCTAGACTTGGAAAATCAACAAAAAATATTTTTGGGCTTAAGGAAGTCACCTTGGTTATTTAAATTTTGGATTAATCTCCCATGTCATGTTTACCTTGAGTAGAGGTTTTATTGTATGTCGGGAGTAGTAGTGCTCTAGTGAGTTACATATATGTGATTGAAATAAGAGATTTTAGCAGATTGAGATTGAGATTGAGATGGAGTGAGAAGAGGAGAGAGTAGAATATGAAATAAGCAACAACACTCTTAGTGGGAAGGCATACTTTTTTGTTTATGTTCACTTTGTAGTTTAATTATGCTTGGAGCATTTAGTAATTTGTTATTTCCTCCTAGTCTTTATTCTCTCTAAGTGGGTTTTAGTTCTTAAGGAGCCTAAAGATGTTATTCAAGAAATGATAAGTTTTATAATCATTCAATGATTAGAGTGTAACATGAAACAAAAACAAGGCATCACAAACAAAAGTATGACTTAAAAACAATTGACCAGGCAAATATGTGGCAAAAGAACCCCTAGATTTTTAATAAAATAGACTATAACTTGGAGCCTGCTATATTTTGAAGAGAGATTATATACTTTTAATGTATTTCTTGCTCTTGTAGATTATAAAACTTAGAATTTTTTGTCCGCAAGCTCCTTTGTGCTAGACATACTAACATCAATGGGATCACCCAACATACTTAGCATTAGGAAGGCCATTAGGAGCAAAAGCCTAAAAAAAAAAATCATTCATTGATCGAGGGAGTAGGTGTGAGGTCAATCACAACCATTAAACTAGCAACTAAGAAAGGCATCAAATCTTTAGACAGGGTCTGAATTAATTTAAAAGAAAACATAATAGATTGGTTGAAATGTGATTCAATAGTGTGTTGTAGTGTAGTGTCTGAATTAATTTAAAAGAAAACATAATAGATTGGTTGAAATGTGATTCAATAGTGTGTTGTAGTGTAGTGTCTGAATTAATTTAAAAGAAAACATAATAGATTGGTTGAAATGTGATTCAATAGT